TCAGCTGCTCACTTTCTGTGACAGAGCTGCAATCTGCAGGCCAGAGTAATAGCTTTCTGATACTAGAGATACCATTTCTGCTTTGCTGACATGCCATTGTAAATCCACTGTATTGCTAAGCCATAGTAGGCAGATACAAGGACACTACTGTTTATGGTGCTTTTCAAACAAAAAAAAATGATTGTGAACTCCTTCATTAAAAGAAAGGTCTTTCAGAGTAATCAGAATAAGCCCTAATTCACCTTTGGCAAAGATGTAGTAATATACACACTGTTTTACTTCACTGCAAGAAGAGTTGTGTATATACAAGTGATGGGGTTGATGCATAAACTTGTGTCTATGCAGTGGTCTTTTAATTTAATAAAAATAACAATGTTCACACGACTTTCATTGTAGGCATTGCACAGCATGTCTGTAAGCACAAACATATAGTTAAATGTTCCTACAGTGTATATCCCTAACCATAAGCATTTAACTATCAGTAACTGGATTTTACAAAGAGATTTCAGGGGGAGAAGGCACTGAGTGGTGCATGGAGAGCTGGTTTAAGGAACAGAGGGAAAGCAGTTTCCATCATCTTTGCAGCACACCAAAAAAGGAGGCTTTTTCTGAACACCTTAGGAAGCAAGCTCTCTTCAGTAGAAATAAGAAAGTTTTGTGAAAAGGAGCGTCACTGCATAGTAGCCAAAACCTGAGTTTGCACCTCTGTTTACAGCTTAACTTGCAAAATCAGATAGCACAAAACTACTGAGCTCTGAGGCTTTAGTTAGGAAAAAGCTTTCTCTGCTGGTTTCCCCAAAGGTGATTTATTCTGAAAAAACTATATTGCGTAACACTTTCTGCCTTAAAAGCAACTCATGCAAAGTTAATTACATGGCACTATGTTTGTGGGAAAATACATTTTACTGCACGTTAATTTGAAGAAAAAAATATTATACAATGAATGCTATAAAAAAAACAGTTATGAGCTGCCTTAACAGCATTTATAAATCAAATCACTGCGCATCGATAACTTTAAAACCAACCTACATCAGCCTTTTGGAACAATGCACAAGTAAAACAGTTTTTGAGAAGCTATGTATTTTTCATAAATTGTGGCTGGCAAAAAATGTGGATTATTTGTTAAAAAGTACAAAAAGGAATTGTTTTCTTTCATTTATAATACTTGATGAATTTTGCATGTTCTGTTGTTTTATATGTTTTTTTGGAAGCAATACTAAAGCCAAAATCCTTAGCACCTTAGGACTTTTTTTTATTGAAAGTATTTCAAACAACACATCACTAATTATATACTCTCTCCTTTTTATATAGAGATAAGAATTTCATCCATAGAAATTAATAAATTGTGAGGGGAAAAAAGAGACTTGTGATCATCTAGGCTTGCCAGCTGTTTTACAGTGGCCAAAGAAGAGACTTATTCCTTGCTAAATACTCCTTTCACTCACTGAGCAGGAAGCCTGTATGACTCATGTTTCAACTACAGAATATTTTTTAAAATGCAGTATTGATATGCCTATTGAAAAAGCTGAAGATTGACCTACAAGACACCCAGCTGTTCCTTATCACCCCTTGACTGACTGTCAAAATATGGGCCAAATTTCTTGACTAAATTTTCCAAATTGTGGCTTTCAGGCACCAGCTCTTGTAAGGCCTTTGGCTGCTGATTCCTACTTTCTCTCCCCCTCCCCCAAAATCTGAAGCCTCTTCTCCACGGCCTACCACATCAGAATTAATTTCTGTGCCAAGAGCAAATGTGGAGGGAAAGATCATATAATCATACAATCATAGAATCGACTAGGTTGGAAAAGACCTCCGAGATCATCAAGTCCAACTCTTGATTCAACACCACCATGGTTACTAGACTATGGCACTAAGTGCCACATCCAGTCTCATCTTAAAAACCTGCAGGGATGGAGAATCCACCACCTCCCTGGGCAGCTCATTCCAATGTCTGATTATTCCCTCTGTAAAAAAATTTTTCCTAATATTCAACATAAACCTCCCCTGGCACAGCTTAAGACTGTGCCCTCTTGTCTTACTGCTGGTTGCCTGGGAGAAGAGACTGATGCCCACCTGGCTACAGATCTCACATTACTTATTATTTCTCTTTTAAATTCTTTAAGTAACTCCCTGGGAAAAGTTGTGTGCACCAAACTACTTGCATAATGCCATACCCATAGCAGAGAAAGTCCCCAGAGCAGGTTGACAATATTAAATAAAAGAAATTATATTCCTATGAAGAATTTTATGTTCACAGTGCGCATGTGCAAAATTTACCGACAGTGTTGCTGACTCCTGTGAATTTACTTCAAGTTTTGCAAGACTAGGTAGTTTTCTTCAAGATCTAGCTCCTGGAGGGATGCCTATGGGACAAAATGTCTGGGATTTTTCTCTCCCTCTGCTTCCTTTCAGTATTTTTTTTCTGCCTTCCCTGACTGTGGAAAGGAAAAGCCTGCAGTGTGATGTGGATTTGTCTTGCAGGCTTAAGAAGCAGACAAATATGTATTTATTCTGTTTCTTTATGTTAAAGATGACCGAGAACTCATAGTAACCACTCGGTTCACTTAACGTAAGTGACTGATCCATCCCAAAAGTATAAGACAGGGAAGAAAGCCAAAGGAAATAATGTTGTCTTCATTTTACAGATTAAGAATTACTTCACAGTTACTTATGCTGGATTCAGAACCTATTTATGCCAATTGATTTCTTGAGATCACACAGCTAAATACACCTTTTTAAAATCCCTGACACTGCACTGAGGACAAGAAATGATTGCTTTCTAAATACCAGGACTAGTTAAACGTATCACGATGTTGCAGACTTTACAGAGCTCCCACTAATCTGAATGGGATTCATATGCAGAGTGTCACAGAAACTGAACCTTTGGAATCAGCCACTGGTATTAAACCACATAGCACTAATCATTGAATCACTCTGCCTGAGTTTCTATTCGGTAGAGAAAGAAAAGGTTCCTCTCTCTGCCATTACTTGTTTGTGCCTTCAGATTTATTAATCTGAGAATATTAGAAACGTATTTGCTAAATCATAATAGTCTGAACTACTAACAATATGCAGTAACAGCGCGAATACATACATTTTAAAAGCTATGGTTCCAATTCTTCCTATTATAAATCTTGACAAGTAATAATTACGTGCAACCCCAGGAAACAAAGTTAATCATAATTATCTTAAAAACAGAAAACAGGCATTAGAAGTGTCATGTTGGGCCTGTATCAGTTACATTTAATTAAACAGAAGATTATGCATAATCCAGTAAAACAGTCTCATGTTTGCTCTAATAGCCAACAGAAATGAAGTTCACCAATACTAACAGGTGTTCATGGAAGTAAGGGACTCAATTTCTGTACTTTCAGGGTTGTTTTACGTAGGGATTATCACAGCAAATTAAGGGACCTAGACAGCCAGGTGAATGAGCACTCAAAAACCAAATTTTTAGGCAGTCTAGGAAATCTCAGCCTTGTACTGTACTTGCACCAATCCCTTGGTGTGCTGGCCATATAAATTGAACACAGATTCCTGTTTTTGAGCAGCGACTTTCAGTTTAGAGTTGTTATTGCTCCCCTATGTGCATTTTACCTCTATATGGAGAGTACTTCTCAATCACCACTCATGTCTCTCTTTCCACCACTGCAGGGGCAGAGTCCATGGTTTGGAGAAGGTATTGAAAATCTTCAGGCTCATCAAAATTCAGAATAAAAATTAAAACACAGGTCTGCTATCATTCCAACAGCATTCATCAGGGAAGGATTCCTGAAATGTGGCTCTAAACCTAATGCTGTTTCTGTAATACATTTCTTTAAATGATCCTATAGGAAAGCCCAAGATAAGGAACAGACTTAGTCTTTTTTTGTATCAAAACCTCATTCAGTAAAGTATATAGATAACCTAACAACTATGTAAGTATGACTCAATAAATTAAGTAATGTGAACACTATCATTAGAACTGGTATTAATAGTCATTGTATTTATTTGACCATTTTGTACGTTTCCTCTTTGTTTAGATTAAAAAAAAAATCAAAAAATATTTTGCCTCATTAGGAGTGAACAAATGAGACGTTTACCTTTAACTAGGTACACAAATTGCAAAAACACCCTTTAAATAATCAAGAACACTAGAAATCTGGTAGTATTCCACCCTACATATTTCAAAGGCATTAAACATTTGAAGCAAACTTACCTACCAGTTCCAGCTGTTGCCAACGAGGATAAGGGAATTTTTTTATTTTTATTTTTTTCTCTTCTAGCAAAACAGTAAGTCTCAAAACTCTACTCTGTTACTGAAAAATTCTATAGTGTAAATACATTATGATTCCCATTTTCATGGCATGCAAGAGACAAGTTCTTCTGCTGAGAGTCACGAAGTGAATCATGAAAACTGTGATGAAAATATTTGTGAAGCATTCTTTTAGATTTTTTTCTGGGTTTGTAAACTTCATTCCCACACAGTCCTCTTATCCTACTTACGCAATTTCGCCGTAGTTTATATTTTTACTCACATTATTAAAACAAACCAAACAAACAAAATCTCAAAATACCTCTTTTAGATGAGACTCTTTGTTTAAAACTTAAATTTTTTTAAAAATGGCAGGTTCCTGCCCAATCTAATAAGTAGGGTGCAGCTGAGTATGTGTAGATACTGGCATTACAAAGATGGTAAGCTTTGCAAATTTATTAAAAGTGAGTATCCACACTGAAGCAGACGTTTCAGTATCATGCTCTGAAATAAACACCATCAAGAGGCAGCCTAAGGACAGATTTAGAGTCCACAGCAGCCAGGTGGTATAAAACAAACCAGTGCTGGATTATTTGTAAAAACCCTGGAGAAAAACAGCAGGATTGTGACTAACAAGAAGTTCTGAGAGAAGAGAATGAAAGTACTTCTACTACAGAGTAAAACCACAACACAGTGAAAACAGAGTCCCTGAACTGGCACTGTGTGAACCAGGCACATCCCCAGCATGCTGGAATAATACACTCACCTTGTCCACAATGCAGATCTGCTTCTTGCTTTGCACATCAAGAATTTCTACTTCAAAGTACGTGATTTTTGAATGTTTGAGTGCTGGCGATGGTTTGATTTGGCCAGCAGAGAGCACAAGCTGAGAGAGGTTGAGAAGAGAGCGTGAGTCATTGTGAGACATGGACAGAGCTCCTCCATCGGCTGCAGGATCGCTCCTGTGTTCTGGAGCGCTGGGCTTCTGCCTCTGGTGCATGGCGTGACCCAGCAGTAGCGATCCTCATATCAACCGGGGACAGTTCCAGGGGAAAATGTTTCCTCCCTGCATCAGTTAAATACAGTCACAGACTGATGAGGCACAAAAGGTCAAGTGGCATTCCATTTTAAGTGCACTGTCTTATTTAGCAGGAGTGAAAACAATGACTCTGTAATCCATGTCTATATTTAACCTGCTATCATGATGTGCTGTATTAATGCTGCTAATGATTTTTTAAATTTATTTATTTTTATTTAAACCAGCATTTGAAACAACACAACTAGAAATTCTCTATCAGGAAGATATTCCAGAGCCCCAGAGGAATCAGGAATGAATGTAATAAATTCCACTGTTACCTACCAAGACAGATGTTCAGAGTGTCCACATATACACATATGTACAGGTATATGTGTGTATATGTATGCTCCCTTAGTATGCATCTGCAAAATCACATCAGATGTCATTTATTCTGCAAATACCTACTAACAAAATACCAGGAGTTCATTGGCAAAATTTTGGGGCTCCTTGCAAATATCTGCTTGTTTTCGCACCATGGATTTTCTGTTATTTGGTGAGACAGAACTTTTCTCAAAGCTCTGCCAGGGAAAAATCAACTGAAGTAAAGGAAATTATAACCATAAAGGCATTAATTTGGGCTTGAATCAATTTACTAATTTCTTATTCTTCCCTGAGAATTTTCACAATGGGCGTCTGCAGCAAAACAAAAGCAGCTCTAATGGTAAAAATAAAGATTACATAAAACAACAGATTTTCTCTAAAAGGGCTTCCCCAAGCCTTGTTTAAGCTTCATTTTTTCATTTATGGTTTTTTAATAGGATTTAATAGAACTAGCAGCACTTTTCCATCCTGAGATTCTCCCTAAATGTCCCTGGGCTGCTTAGGATTACAGTGTCAGAAGGGCACCACGAATTCCTGAAGAGAGTTCTTTCCAGTGGGGACACAGAGTAAGTTCTGAATACATTTCTCCATGGTAAAAACCTCAGGGAAACTACAATCCCTACTGCAAAAGTCATATGGGTTTATTACACTGAGGAAATTTAATTAAGTGGAAAAAAATATTTCCATGAGATAAATGTTACCAGACAACTAATACCGCCTCTGGGATGCAGTGTGGGAATAGAACAGGTCTCTCTTCTTTGATTCTGCTATACAGAAAATTTAGTGGTCACTGCTTCTTGTCTAGAGACACTTGGCAAGAAGCTCTATGAAATAACAGAGAAAGTAATTGATAAGTTGCTGCAAGAAGTAAAATGAGAGTGAGGGGGACCCCCAAAAGAAGGCAATTTCCACACTATGCTGTTGATAGAATAATTCATGCTTTAGTAAGTTGTATATGTGCTTAATTTCTTGAAAATCAAGCCTGCATACATGAAATGTATCCTGCTTATAAACATATGGAAAAGACATAGGAGAAGAAAACAGTGAATTAGCAGGGGCTGAATTCATGGGCAGGTCTGAGCTCAGTGGTAACTGGGCTGGACATCTGAAATAATAAAACATTTGCAATATCAAGAGCTAGTTGAATTTATTTATGATTCTTTAGCCAGTTGTTTTGACTAAGGAAGCTAATTTCAACTCTTAGCTAAGATGCTTTATGTCCACATGACATGACAAACTTTGGTGTAGCAAAGTCTGAGAGAAAAGTCCCTGCTACTTGTTGATGCAGTCATGCAGCCTTTGAATGCCTTCACTGGCTTTGTTAATGGAAGGCCCTGACTGTGGGAATGCAGATGTATAACAATATCAATCACCTACTACAAAACAAAGATTAAATTTTGGCTGTACTGAAATCAGTCAGTATCTTGCCACTGATGCAGAACAAGTCAGTATCTAAAGGAAAAAATTGTTAGACTGAACAAGATTATATTGTGATCAGTGGAGTACATATTTCCCCCATGAAAGGTGTGCAAGGAACCATCACCTTGGCAGAGTCAATATAGCAAGCAGAAATTTTGGTATAAGCTAATCAGAACATGGAGAGAGACACATTGTTGGCTACCTGTGAGGGCCTTGCTAAAAACACACAGGTAAAGACCACAGAACACATGGGTCCTAAAATCCAAGTGTGAGATACACTTATTTAAAAGGACTGCTACAAGGAAACTGCACAAAGTGCTGTACAAGAGATGAGATAAACTGATATAATATCCCTTTTTAGCCACAAAATCAGCGAGATGTAATAGCATATATTAATACATTTCTAAATTTATTTCAATTCAAAGGCAGTAAAGATTAATATTGATTACTATGGCTAATTTCTACATATATAAAGGAACTGGTGTTACAGTCATTACTATGGGTATATTTATAACATTTAAAATTATAACATCTGAGCTTCTGCCTCTGAAAAAAAAAAAAAAAAGCTTTTGATTTCCTTACTTCAGATATATAAATGATCAGAATTTTATTACAGACCAATAAACACTTAAATATCTGTACTAATTCCAGGAAAATGCTTACAAAAATATACTTCTATTTTTTCAATCTAAGGTAACCGTATGCAATTTCAGTATTTTGATGAACAACAGTCTTTAGACCCAAAACCTTTTCTGACATAAACTAGGAAGGCTTCTCTAAAGGTGACTGGTCCTTTCCTCACTCTATTATATTATGGCTCTAGGATTAGACTGCGGCACCATGTCTGCAGCAAATATACTGCTTGCATATAAGGTGGGTGAGAGGTACTCTACCAAAAATAATCGGGCATAGAGTTACCGCTGATAACCTCAGCTCTAAAAGGGAGAGGTATAAAAGCCGTGGAGATTTTGCCATTAATGTAACAAGTGCTGCACTTGCTTGAAATGTCATCAGTGGGTTTGAATGTTCTGGCTCAGTGTGAGGTAATCCAGCCCATTCTGTGTAGAAGTGCACGTGGAAGGGAAATATTAATTACTGGAAAAAAGGCACATTTTCCCTTTCAATGCAGTCATTGTGCCTCATCTCAATCCCCAACACTGGAGATGGGGAATTCCAGTACAGGGGTACAAGCAATCAGTCCCATGGTGAGATTATTGATCTGCATTACACAGGCATAAGCTGCTGTTCTCAGAGCTGGGGTGGGGGACTGGCAGCCAGAAGTCACTGAATCCCTGACCTCGGCTTCACTCTGGGACTCTGAGGGGAGTCAAAGAGCACTCAGGAAGAATTAAATCATCTCTGACAGCTTCAACTTGCACTGAATTTCCTGCCATATAAGGGACCTATATTTTTAGGGGGGCACAAGAATGGGCATCGCTCTTCTCAGACGGTGGCTCTGCCTCCTCTCCTCACTTGGCACGTGGCTGACATGAGTCGCTTTGGAGGCAGGCAGGCACCTTGTTAAGCCATTGTTTTGGAAGGTGCTTTTTCCAGCAGGGAGGGAGTGTCTGCCCCCAAAGCATGCAGCAGGGCCATTATCTCTAGTTAAAACTGAACTGCTGATATTTTCACAACAAAAGCAACACTTGTAGTGGATTTTTGGCGCCCTTCTAATCAATATCTGGAAAAAAAGCATCAGCCTGTGCAGGTCATGACAAAATAGGTAACAAAGCACTGGTCAGGGACTAAGACTGAGCATTCAGTTTCTGACACTGAACTCCTGTGAGGTGTTAGGGAACTGCTGTTTTTCCTGCTTTTCCTTCCCATTCCACACGTCTTCTCTGTGTGAGGCACTCTTGCACTGTGCATTTTGCAGACAGCCTGGCACAAAGGGATTTCAAAGTATTTCAACTGGGCCGTTAGGGTGCTTCTGAAGTTCCTTTTCATCTTTGGTTATGTTTTGTACTCCTCCTTCCCCAGAGAACTGGTCACCTCCTTTCAGTCTGCAGAATGTCAACTATTAAGTCAACAGCAGAGGGTCATCTCTGTCAGTCCAAATGCTTGTCAGCAGCCCTTCACACATCGCTTTTTATCCCACACACTTCAAATGCTTGTTGGTAGCAGGGTTATTCCTTTCCCACAGGCTTTGCCCCCAAGATACAAAACTCCAGAGCCCAAAGTATGTGTGGTTCGGTACCACAGGTCATGAAGCCTAAAACAAAGCAGATTCCCAAGGTCACACACACTCACCTCAGTGTCCCATTTTTGGAGATTCTGCCAATCATTTTTCTGGGGAAGGAGATGCTGGGGTCAAGTGCTCAACTGTGTTGGAAAGAAGCAGTGAAGTCCCCTAGCTTGAGGAAGTCTGAACCAGTTCGTTCACATGGCACATGCCATCCCTCAGGGCCTCATCACCTTGTTTAGCAGCTGTGCAGCCCTTACACCCCGTACTGTGCTCGATCCAACCAGCACTGTTCACATATCCCCATTTCAATCTTGGATTTCATGTTTTCAGGGCCAGGCAGGAGCATAGCTGTGCTTTCAGACTCTTTTTACTGAGCTGTCCAAGGAAAAATTTAAGAACCTGATCTAATGTACTCATTTGGAAAAACACTAACAACAATTTGTGTGTCTGGCTCCTGCCTTCATCTGGCTGAGAGTTTAGGAATAGGTTTACCTGATTATCTGGGGGGCTAATTTTTTTAAACATTTGGGTTGATTCTGTTATCCATATCAATTAAGTAATAACTACAATGTATTTCTGAAGCACTGCAGAAATTTAAGCATGCGAGCCTGGCTGTTAAGAATGTAGATTGAAGATTGCAGTGTATAGAATGTGAAATTTGATAGTGTTTATTCCCAAATGCTGTTTATAAAGGCTGCATGGTAAAGAAAAACCCGAACAAGAAGAAGATGAAGATATCAATCAAACGAAAAAAACCCTGCATGAATCTCTGGTATTTCTTTGCCTGCACATGCCTACCTTAGCAGCCACAAAATCAATTTTAAGTATTCTATCTACCTGTGCACGCGCACACACACACACACACACAAAAAACCGCTTTGAAGAAGCTCCAAGAATTACTACTAAAACGACCTGGATAGTTTAATTTTATCTCTTTAAGCTAAAGCTCTTAATAAATAAGTAATGGACAAGGTTAAAAGGCAGAGAAGGTGAGTTCCCTGACTCTAACACTAAACAATCCTAGAGCTATTTTAAATACTGCTGCAGTCAGGACTAAACCTCATCAGCTAAGGGACAGGGTAGAAGTGATATACACCCATGTTTCTCCCCTTCAGCTATACTGGCAGGGCTCCTCAGCAAAGGATGTCAGCCTTTCTGACCCTGTGAGCTGTGCAATGGAAACATTACATGGCCAAAAGCCACAAGCCTCAGGCCACATC